GAATAGTGAGTTACTGCTAACCCGAAGACAAAATCCATTGAGACGGATTCCCAGCACTCAGCTGGAACCGGTAGAGGCTGTAAAGGTGCACGCAGTGAAGGACTTGACTTCACTCGTTGGCAGACTTCGCATGCGCGAACACACTTTCTCACAAACTGATACTGGCGGGGCCAGTAAAAGTCTCGATTCACCGTGAGATATGTTTTCTCCCGGCCACGATGTCCTCTTATAGGAGCATCGTGATACTCGGACATGATCCGCAAACGCAGATCAATTTCATCTAGAATGACAACACGTGGTGTGTCACCAGAAACGGCTGTATAATACAGTAAACCGTTGCGAGTAGTGTATCGATCTGATGCAGATCGATACGCAGGCGACAATCGTTTCAACGATTCTCGGGATGGCTGTGAGAGATGTGTCAACAACTTCACAATCTCACCATCTTGGGCGTATGCCCGCCTCACATCATCATGCAACGTTGAAGATGGTACTGAGGACGTCATAACCGCAACAGTGACTGTCTCACTGTTGGGTTTCACGACTGGTTCAAAGTCGGGACGACGTGAGAGTGCATCAGCGACGACATTAAGTCGTCCTGGTTTGTACTCTACCGTAAAGTTGTATTCTGCAAAGAATGACAACCACCGCGCCATTCGTTATGAAAGGTGCGGGCTGTTTACTGCCGTACATAATGACGCATGGTCAGTGTAAACAATGAAGGTTCTATCTCCTAATAGATAGACTCTGAACTTCGCGAGTGCATACTTCATGGCAAGGAGTTCCTTGTCATGCACTGCAATAGTTCCGCTCAGCGGGGGCAGGTGACGCGACTGATAGCAGACGACGCGTTCAACGACCTTCAAGATCGTACTGCATTAATGCACAGCCGATTGCGAAATCGCTGGCATCACAGACCACATGAAATGGCCTGTCCTGACCAGCAATTGCTAGGACTGGGGATTGTATCAAGCTCTGCTTGATACCATCAAAGGAGCGCTGACATTCAGCGTTCCATAACCACCTCTCGTTCTTTTCAACAAACGAGAAGAGTTGCACAGTCATCTCGGCGTAATTGCGTGAATACTTATGCAAATGCGCCGCTAGCCCGAGGAATTTTTGAAGACCTTTGACATCAACTGGCACAGGCCAGTCGGTGATCGCCTTGATCTTTTCGGGATCAGGACGTACACCGTTCTTACCAACAATGCACCCAAGAAGTGGTATTCGCTTGCTGCAAATAAACACTTCTTGAGGTTTGCATACAATTGATGCTTTCTCATGATTGTAAGAACCTGTCGGACGTGGTACCTGTGAACCTCAACATCCGATTTTCCATCCATATCCCGACTATGGATGAATACGTCATCGAAATAACTCGGCGCGAATTCTCGTACTGGTCTCAACAGATGTGATGCACATCTGTTGAACGTGGCAGGGGCATTACTAAGCCCTTGTGGCATTACTAGCCATTCCAAGAGCATGCCGCTAGGCGTGCTCACTGCGGTATAGGGTATATACCGTTCTTGCATAAGGATTTGATAGAAGCCATCCATCAAATCCATGGACGAAAAGATGGTACTCTTTGACATACCATCGATGATTACGTCCTCCCTCGGTATCGGCTTCTGAGCCGGTACCGTTGCAGCATTCAACTTGTTAAATGCATGCACAATCCGCCACCCTCCTGTTGCTTTTCGCACACAGAAGGTCGGAGAGCTATGTGGGGAAGTTGATTCCCTCACATGGCCCGCAGCTAAACGATCGGCAAAGAACTTGTCGATCGCAAGTACTTGTTCACGAGGCAGTGGCCACTGCTTCATGACTCAGTACTTCGAGCCTGGTTTAAGCTCGACCTCGTGTCGAATACCTTTATCCTTCGGTAATTCGCACGGAACAGTTTCAGGGAATACATCCTTGCATTCAACCAAATCTTCATAGAGAGGATTTGTCTTGAGCGTTTCCCACGATTGGGAGTCATATCGCTCAATTCGTGTCTTTTCATCTAGGACACTCTCGTCCATAGATGAACTACTGAGAACTCTTTCGTTATCAGTAAACACTGTTGCTGACCTTATGTCGGCTACACACTCGTCGTCAGCGACGAGTACGCAGATCTGCTTGACTTTGCCACTACGCAGATCACGCAAGAACCTTTTATGTTCGAGTGTTGGCAACTGAGTGATCTCCGAAGTCAACTTCGGAGGCGCAATCAGATCAAGTGTATAAGCGCCTACACTTGATCCGTTATTGACTATGACATTCAATGTCTCTGTCATTTCCTGGGGACTTATTCCCTCAGGCCTCGAAGGACTTATTCCTTCGGCTTCCCGGGGACTTATTCCCGCGGGTTTTGGGGAACTTATTTCCGCCGTATTTGTAATATCGGGACTTATTCCCTTAACTTCCTCTAGCTGGGGTTGCGCAACCACAGCGAGATCCTCTACGAAAGACTCTCCAGTCGATCTAGGATTATCGTTTCGCTTAACCTGAGCGATCGATTGTTTCTCTTCTAGATTTTCCCCGCTAGGGATACATCTTTGTCCCGGTCCACTCGACTTATTCGAGTGGTGGACCTTCGGCGCAGCCTGTGTTTCCTCACAGCCGCCGGAACTTTGCTCCAAAGTGTAACCGTTTGTCACACTAAGGTTTTGTGCAGTCGTACTAACGACCGTACCACAAGTGAGGCCATCGCACTCACTCGTAGTACATCCACACGCTTGTGGACGCTCCAAAACGTTCATCAGATGGCCATCTGATGAACAAGCGGCAGGCATCGTTACTGTTCGATGTTGCCAGTTTACCCGTGGTTCGTACCTTCTGAGCCACGGTATTCCAAGGATGACATCAAATTTGTCATCCAAATCCAATACGATAAAGTCATCGTCATATTGGGTATCTTCTAGCGTATAGTGGATCTTCACTATACGCTTCATGACGGTTACGGATGCGCCTGTCGCAAGACGTACCGTCATCCTCGTAGGAGGTGTGTCACATTCACTGAATTTAAAGTGACCGTCTTCTAGCGATTGGCGTCGCACAAAATTGTTGGACGCCCCACAATCGACTAGAGCTCGAAGGGACAACTTATTCGTCACTTCGAGTTTCAAGGTAATGAGTGAGACCTCATTACCTAGAGCAGCAACGCACAAAGTCTGTGTGTTGGGAGCAACCTTCATCAAGAGGCCTACAAATTCTCTTGACGTTGCTGGATCAGTAGGGTGCTCCGCACCTACTGATCCTGTCCGGTTTTTGACGGTCCATCCCGTTGTTGCGTCTTTTGCACCAACTGCGGACCCTCATCCCTGCCCCTTTCTCATGGGTGGACGGTCACTACGCCCAGTGTCGCGAGACACTGGACGAGGGGCACTACACTCGTAAGCGTAGTGTCCTGTCTTTTGACATCTGTTGCATCTCTGCAACTTCTTGTAGCCTGTAGAGCGAGCCTTCTCGCTCTCTACATAACAGAGTTCCATCGGCTCTGGACCTCCGTTGTCATATCGTCTCGGTTGACGATATGATGTCGAGCTGGCGCGAGCCTGTCTCAGACTGAAGTCTTCCTGCTCCGCAATGGAAATGGCTTGCTCTAGTGAATCTAGTTCAAGCCGGAACAGGTGAGTCTTGACGGGACCATCCGCAAGACCCTGCATGAACACCGAAACCAACGTGTGTTCATCCACCGGATCGGAACTAATACAACTCGTGAGATGTCGTATATGTTGCGCGTAAGCGTGCACATCACGCTTACCTTGCTTGAGCTTCAAGAGTTCGGTTCGAGCTCTGAACTCAGCTCTAGGCGGTTCAAACGTTTGTCTGAGCCGCGACTTGAAGACTTCCAACGACCCAAACGCATATGGGTCGTGCAACTTGAGCCCCAGTGCCCAAGTCTTGGCACGTCCTGCCAGATTTGACTGGGCAAATGCAACTTGCATATCCCCGTCGCCGATGCGGCGCGCCCTTATGGCGTCATCCAATTCGACGAACCATCTCAAGAGGGAGTCCTCTTCGACTCCCCTATACTTGGAGATGTCAATCTTCAAGGTTTCGGGTCGACGCGAGTGCATCGACCCATCAGCAGCAGCCTGCTGCTGTCTCAACAGTTCAAACCGTTGAGCACCCTGTTCTCTCAACAACTCTGCTTGTTGAGAACCTTGTTGGTGAAGCAAGGCTACTTTCTCGCGTTCTGCGTCAAGTTCATTTTGAATGAACTTGGCGATAGTAGCATGTTGGGCATCTCTATTGAGATCCTCTAGCATGACGCCAACAGCATGGATGCCCATGGTCGAACCCATTCGTTCAACCGCATCCCATTCGACATCGCTCAAATGGGAGTAGCCGTCACGCGTAGCGTGAAAGCTTTGGTCATCTTCATCGTCCAACATATTCATGTTGGATGTGAACGCGGTCCTTGGACGGACTACGAAGTGCTACCAGGTGTAACGGGGCACCCTGAAGCTTTTACTGGTAACAGTACAAGCTACTTATTCTGATGACGGAATAAGGCGGTGCCTCGGAACTTCACGTACACTCGTACGTGCAGAGGAAGACGGTAAGAAGAAGCGAGTACTTGGTTAAAGTAAAAAGTAGAACTGTATTTATCATAGTTAATGTCTGCAATAAATCACTATTTATCCTCATCTAACTATGTCTAAATACAAATGTGTAAATCAAATATCTGCTCACCACTCATTGCGTGCGTCTGTCGTGGCGCGTCTTCGTTGGTTGATATAATGGCCTATATCAACCAATTAGGAACTACTCGTAAGTGCTACAGATTATTTGTCCTTATGACAATATTCTGAGAATACGACTCTTATAGTTATATTCTATTAACAATTTCTTATAAATTGTTATGTAACGATTCACCCTGTTACACATGCAAAGTAAAATGACAGAGTGGTAAGTTGTAGATCGAATACAAAATCTTATCGTCCTTCACCTAGCTCCTACTGCGCTGCACGCTTGCGTGCCAATAGGTTATGAGCCCAATAATAGCAGCTATGAAGCGACCGGCAAGACACCAGGTGGTGTCGCGCGAGATACCCCAAGGCGTGGCCCGCCAGCACGTGTGCATTCATTGGTGAACACGTCAGCAGCCGTCGAAGACTCATTCGCTCGCGAGGGCGAGACGCATGTCGACAAGATCCTTGCAGCACCCGCTGGTGTGACGGAACGGCTGCGGTAATTGAGTCAGCAGCCGTCGACGACTCATCACCTCGCGAGGGCGAGACGCACGTCGACAAGATCTTTGCAGCGCTCGCTGGTGTGACGGAACGGCTGCGGTGATTGAGTCGTCGCAGCAAGTGCGAGATGAAGACGAGCGGATGATGGAAGCTTTTGATAGCGGGATGTTCGCGTCGAATCTTGGTAGAAATTCGCGTGGTCGACCGACGACAAATGACGCGCTTGGGCCGCCGGGAGAGAATCCCGTGGCATCGCGCACGCATTGGCGCGCGCCAGACCTCAGCGTGTCCCGCTTTGCGTCGCTTGGGCCGCCTGGTGCGCGCTTGCCGCCGCAGCACCCCACGCCGATGCACACATCGCCGTCACCTGAGTAGTCTACTCCGCTGCAGGTGTACGAGAGTCCAGGGCTTAACGGCTACGGGATGCCGACCGCGAGCCCCAAGCAAGCTGAACATCAGGAAGTTCAACAGAATCGAGCTCTACAACGGTCTGGGCAGCGGCTCCTCCGACAAGGGACGCACCTTCGGGCGCGCTTGAACCTAGGAGAGGCATTGTGCGGTTTCGCGTGGACCAGGGACGTTGAGGTGAACCTCCTCGGCCACTTTCTGGCGGGCACCGCCGAGCGGTACAAACACAAGCAGGTTTACACCTGGTGGGTACAGATGCCGCGTCTCGAGTACATCCTGGAGCAGCTGCAACGGAAATTCGAGGCAGCTATCGCGGCGCGTCAGGCCAGAAGTTGCTTATGCATAAGAAGAAGATCAATGCACATGGTCGAAGCACTTCATCTACACGGTCGCCACCAGCGATGCGCGTGGAGGCGTCGATTTGTTCATGCTCGGTAACATCGTAACCGCGCGTTGCCAGAGCTAATGAACGTCATGCGCGCGAAGGTCGATCCGGCGAGGACCCCTTCCTGCGGAGGAGCTGACACACTTTGTGTAGTCGATCAAGCTCGGCATCGGCGTAGTGGGACGCGGTGTCATCGCAGCGCACGTCGAGACAAAGCGGCCAGATCCCCGGGATCTCTTCGGTGTAAAATGACCTGACACGTTGTATCCGAGTGCAAAGCGCGAGTTGTGTTTGACGAAAAGGTGAGTGGCGTAAACGGAGATAGCGACATGGTGCTCGCGCTCACTAAGAAGGCGAATGGCGTGCTCCCGAAGCATCGCAAAACGAAGAATAAGAGGAGCTCACGCGGAAAATCGACAGCTGCGAATGATGCAAGCGGCAAAGCAGCAGCTGTGAGCAGCACGCGTGATTTTGTGTCTGCGACAAACGACGTGAAGTTGTTGGGCGAGAAGACTGGATCCTCGACAGCGGCGCAAGTCGGCATCTCGTGCACGACAAGTCGCTGCTACTCCAGTCGATCGCATGAGACGACCAGATCACAATGGCGGACGGGGCGTTGTTGCTTTTGACGCACGTCGAAAGTGTGCGGCTCAAAGTCCTCGCGCGCGGCGCATCGACGAATGTGACGCTGACGGAGGTTTACCTCGCTCTGTGCTGTCGAAGAACAGCGAGTCGTATGGCAAGCTCGAGAGAAGGGTATTTACCCTTGTCTAAGACGGCGACAAGTGCTTGCTAGCCCTATACAGAGATAGCACAATCGATTCGACGATGCGATGGACAGAAACGTACTGTATGTTATGAAGACAGCGACGAGCGGCAGCCTCAGCACAAGCGATGCGATCATGGCCTCCCTCAAAGCGCATGCGACGGACGGAGATGCGGACGATGCGCTTGAAGCCTCGCTGCTACACAGGCGCCAGCGTCTAGGCCACCTCGCGTTCGATACGATCAGGAGCATTGCGCGCAATCCGGCATCGGGCATACTACTGAACAGCAACAAGTGCATAGCGTATGTGTCGAGACTTGAGGGCAAGCAGACGCGCTGCGCACATCTGCAGCGCGACAGAAGCGTCAACTCTCCAATAGACAGGGTCAGTGGCGTCATCCGCTCAGAACTCAAGGGCCCGATGACGCCGCATAATCGGCTCAGCAATCGATACCTGGTCAAATTTATTGCTCAGAAATTGAATTACTGCCGCGCTTCCCTCGCGCACACCAAGGACGCGGCGGCAAAGCAGTTCGAGAAATATTTCTTCCACTTCGAGATGATCTTCGGTTTCAAGATCCACTTCTTGCGCACACACGGCGGCGGAGTGTACGTCAATGTTGTTCTTTTTGCAAGAAGAAAGGTGTCGCGTGCCGAGTGTTGGAGGCTTGCAACTAAGCGTCAAACGCCAAGGCGTAGAGGATGCATCGAATAGAGTTGAACCTTGCGCGCATCATGTGTTTGTGTGTGCGCTTCCGTTGCAGTTCTGTGGCGATGAGGTGCAGCATGCTGTCCACATCCTGAACCGCAGTCCGACGCGAGCGAATGTAAAGAGAGCGTCGCCTCTCGAGGCGCTGATGAGAGAGGCTCAGGATATGCGAGACATCGTTGTCTTCGGGTCTTAATACAGCGTGTACATGGACCCACGCAAGAACTCGCTGCAAGAGCTCTCAAAAATCGGCTTCATCGTCGGCACCAGAGATGAAAACAAAGGGGTACAAGGTGCTGCTGAGGAAGGAGAAAAGTTCATCGTCCCTCAGCACGTGAGAAACATCGAGACGCTCTCGGATTTACAGAAAGCGCAGCCCCATCGTTCGATGGACGCGAGCGACCGAGGCGATGATACGGTAGCGACAGCCCCAGCAGCGGATGCAGCACCGGCGTCCCGCGACGGCAATAAGGAAGTGCAAGAGAAGAGCAATAAGCCGTGGGTGCAACAAGCGCAGTTTTCGAGCAAGATCCACACAACTATGGCAAGGCCAAGCGCAGATCAAATAGCACGGAGTGTCAGACGGCTATACTGGAGGAGATCGCTGAGCTCGAGAGCAATGACGTGCGGCGCGTGATGAAGCGCAGCCCGGGCACGAATGCTCTCCACTCCAAATGAATCTTCTAGAACAAGACGGGATCCGACAAAGATGTCGAGCAGTACAAGGCACGGTTTGTCGCGTGCGGCATGAGTAGGTGCTTGGCGTCTACTACCACATGACTTTGCCGCTGTTATGGACATCTTGACAGCGAAGGTCGTGTTGGCGCTCGCAGCAACGTGGGACGTTCCGGCGAAGCAAGCACGGGGACACCCCGAATGCGTACGTGCGTGCCGATAAAGAAAATGCATCTCGACATCTGTCTGCAGGTTCCTCGCGGCTTAACGGTGTTCGACAGGACGCTGCGTGAGGTTGGCGGCGCATGTAGGTGAGGTTGCGCTGGAGCTTCGAAGAATCCTGTATGGGCTAAAGCATGCAGGACGCCTCTACTGGAAGCTGCTCCATGCTCGGCTCAGTGCAGCTCTCTTCACATGATGCGTGACAGACTTTTGCCTGTATCACAAGTGCGATGGCGAAGAGCTGGTTGTTGTTGGAGTCTATATCGACGATCTGCTGGCGACGGGAACGAATGTTACGGCGGTCGAGAGCTTCTTCACGATCCTGGCAACGCTGTCAATCAAGGAAAATCGCTCACGTCCACAAGTCCCTGGGAATGCGGATGGAGTTCGGGAGATACGGCGCGTATCGCATCGATCAGGAGGAAGCTATCAAAGAGCTCCTGCACGCAAATGGGATGAGTGACGCAAACCCGACCAAGACTCCAATCGTAGACGACTGCTAAGAGGTGCTATGCGACGACGCCGCACTGCTAGCGATGACGAGTGCAGGCGGTGTTAAGAAAACCAACGAGCAGTTTCTCTTCGGGAGTCTACTGTGCTGACAGGAAGCTCTTCAAGCGCATCGCGCAGTACATCAAGGGCACCGCGGCGCTCAAATTCGAATGGCGCCGGCTCGAATGAGTCTCGACGCGCTGCGGGTCGAAACTTACATCCAGCTTTGCGGCCGACAAGGCGGACCGTAAGTCGCTGACGGGAGCATTTGTGCTCCTTAACAGCAAGGCGGTATCATGGACGTTGAAGAAGCAAGGCGGCGTGAGCCTCTCCACCACGGAGGCCGAGTTCGTCGCGGCGTTGAAGGTCGCGCGCGAGCTCATCAACTTGCTGCAGATGCCCGTAGAGGTTTGCATGGCTCCGGTTGTCCCTATGCTGATGCATGTGGACAACTAGGCATCCATCAGCCAGATTGAAGGCGAAGTCTCCTCGATTAAGGCCAAACATTTTGACTTGAGCACAAGTATCTGCACGACCTCGCTTAATACGGTTTCGTGACGTTGCAGCGTGTTCGTTCCGAGCTGATGCTCGCCGAATTAATGAGGAAGGCTGTCGATGCGACCAATCTGGCGACTGTGCGCAGTCTGATGCGTTTGGTGTAGCTTGGCGCGCGGATACGAATCAGAGACGAGCGAGCGGCCGAGCCAGGATGCAGAAGAGCAAAATTGAGCAGAAGCAAGCGCGACGGGCACATCAGCGTGTGGCGATCGCAAGAAGTCTGACGAATCGAAAGCAGTGTTTCAGACTCGGAGGAGAAAGCGCAGGTGTGACGGGGCACCCCTTTGTTTGGGTGTTACGAAACTTCACGTACACTAGTGCGTGCAGAGGAAGCTAATCTACTCAACAACTAAGCTGAGTAAAGGGTGAAAAGAGAACTGTATTTGATATAGTTAAGCTATCAATATAACTTTAATCTTTATCTAACTACATCTACATTGTCGCATGACGACAACCTGCTCACCACTCATTGCGCGCGTCTAGAAGCGATTGGTGGCAATTTTTGGTTGGTATGTCTTTATCAACCAATCTTGGAGCAGCGCATGAATATTATCCTACAAAGGGGATAATATTCCTTCAATATTATCCACCTCGGATAGTATTGATAGGATATTGGCATGCTAGACAATATCCTCATTGACACCGTTTGATGTCAACACCATGTAACGTCCTACCCCGTTACATCACCTCCCCCCTAACCATAAATCACCCGTTTTTTAATAGGGTTGATTGGGACAGGGGGACCACCGTTGGATCACTCTGTCAAAGGGAGCACTTGTTGGTTAAATTCCATTATTTTGCCAATTCAACGCATAGTTTTTATAACCTAAGCGAGTTGCTACTGCAGCAGCAATAAAGGCGGCTGCACGCATGCGTGCAGCCTGACGGAGGTATTCTCACACCCCAGCATCAAGTGATTCGTCGCCTGTTGTAGTGAATCGTCCACATGGTGAGTCACCACGTGCAACATGTACATTCGCTGCTTCTGCAGCGGGTATTACGATTCGTAGTCAATATGAGTTTGAAATAGAGCTCATCTATTCTGGCGAGTCGAATGATGTATCCTACCTGAAGGCGAAACCTCCCGCCTCCGGATCATCCGGGGCGTACACTGCAAGAGCCAGGTTAACTGGCTCTGGTCAACGTGGCGGCATCATGCTCGAGAACTTCGGATCGAGCGATTATTCCGACGAATCTACGTCTCACGCAATTCCATCAAGCGATAGGACGCGTGTAGATGGTATTGATGCACCTTTACGTCACCACGAGCGAAGTAACTTGAGGGATTGGGGTTTCACTGGTGTCAGCGCTCGTGCTGACACCAATCAAGAGGATTAGGACCGCAATGTCCTGCGCCACGCTCCTCCAGTGGAGTCTCCTTGGACGCCGTCATCCGAAGAGTTTGATCGAGTGGCCGGTATGACCACCGAACGGGATCAAATCCCGTTGTCTGAATGTAGGAAGATCTGCCCACCTAATTTCAGCACAAAAACTATTCGTGCTAAGGAAGAATTCTTCACCGATATGTTTTTCAAAATTCGGTGGTACAATGGCAGCCGCGTATGAGACGGTAAGGCCTTGGTCCAAGGATGGAATTCCTTCACCCATGACATCGAGTGCATTGGCCGTGAGGCCTGGCTCGGTAAACTTGATGCAGCTCGCATTAGGTTTGAGAAACGTAACCCAGCCGGGGTGCGATACAAGTTGCACCGGCTATCAAGAGAGGTAGGATAACCCTGTCTCTCGTGGGGAGACGCATGTACAGGTTGCCTGGACAACTCGAACCGTGCCCCTAGGGAGGCCTACCTCCCTAATTATCCCTACTGGAGGGCACGCATCTCTTCTGAGATGGCCGAAGGGATTGACACTTTGCAATCCCTGTACTCGTGTTCGGGGAGGTCGTTTTCCGACGGCCCTTCTTTGAACGCAGCAGGTGGGTGTTGTCATATTGCTGGACAAGACCCGTAACATGAACGATCAGCTTGGCACGAGGCTCCCAGCTGTCCCAGGCCAGTGGATAGCCACGCCAGCGGACGAGGTAAGTCGTCTGGACGCCATTCACGTCGCAATGGTTCAATAAACGCTCCACCAGAAAGCGTTGACCACTGCCAGAATCCACCAAAGGATGTGGTGGCGGCGGGAACACCTGAACCGGCTCAAGGGTCGTATATGGTTGATGTTCAAGAGCTGAACCGTGTAACGGAACAGTTGCAAGATGACCTGGCTCACGAATGGACTCGGAGTAATGAGCTTCGGGATCTTGTAAGGGATAATTACAATTCCTTAACGCACGATCGTTCGGACGATCATGCCGTGTTTGCATTCGCACAACTTGAGAATGAACGTTTGACTCGTTCTCTTCGTGACGATGTGGCTGCAGCTCGTCGAGACATCGCTCAACTGCGTGAGCAGGTCGATCTGCTAGTCGACCAGACAGGCTCGTTGAAACGGGACATACTCGAAGGTGGTCTCTGCCCTCGACCGCGGATGTGTTCTTTGCATCTCGAAACGGATCGTACTGATCGTACGGGCGGAGACGTCCAACGTAAAAGGAGGATACGTACGCATCTTACGGGGCAGTTCAATCGTGTATGCGTTGCCCATGCGGCGCGATACACAATATGGACCGATGTACCTGGGCAGTAATTTACTGCTGCCCACGTTTGTCACTGCGTGTTTCGGTAGGTTTACTGCAGACAGTAAAACTAAGTCTCCTATATCAAACGAAAGAACATTTGCTCTTCCATGTTTGTCTTCGTTTCTTTTCTGTCTTTTTAATGCATCTGCAATAGAGTCTTGAACGAAGCGGACAAGCGCTTCGCGAGTCAGCAGAAATTCCTCTGCCAATTTATCCTTGTTAACAGCAGTGCGCTTAGTGTGCACTGCTGAAAGAACGTTGTATTCACCAGTGAGGGTGTCATCGTCCTCACTGTGGCAGTCATTGGCAATGCTGAATATACCAGCATCGCCGTCATCATCATCAACGATATCGATTGCATCGACATCGGCATCCATCACGTCGACACCATTGTCGACGGGTGATGAGAAAGAACCAGATCGGGTTTTGTCCGAGCGAGTCCAATCCCCCCTTAAACTAGAGTCACACTCCAAGAAGGCGGGTAAACGTGGATGGTGTAGGTCATTTACGAAGAACGGTGTATGTGTTGTCGACGCATGCACCGAGTTGTTGATGGCGAATTCAGCCATCGGCAAGAACTCACTCCAACTCGTAAACGAGTGGACGTACTCTCGAAGTATCTCTTTGAGGATGCAGTTAACGCGTTCTGTCTGGCCATCCGTTTCTAGATGGTCAGAAGTCGACGTGTTTAAACGTGTTCCAAGTGAACGGAACACGGATTGCCAGAACTCCGCTATGAAGCGGGAATCCCTATCAGACACGAGTTCACGGGGTAACCCGTGAAGTCGAAAGATAGTATCGGTGAAGACACGAGCACAGCCCTGGGCTGTAATTAAGTCCGGTGCAGCAACAAGATGTACCATCTTGCTGAACCGATCAACAAACACAAGAATACCAGTATTATTGTGAACGTCTTTGGAAACACGAAGACGAAGTCCATTGATACGGACTGCCAACACTCTGCCGGAATCGGTAGAGGCTGCAAGGGTGCACGGGATGAAAAAAATAGGCATCACCCGTTGGCAAACTTCGCAAGCGTGAATGTACTTGCGCCAAGACTCATACTGGCGCGGCCAGTAGAAGTCACGACTTACCGCGAGGTAAGCCTTTTCTCTACTGCATGCTCACTTCTTGGGTCATCGTGACACCCATACATGATGCGCAATCGCAAATCATCATGAGCGGGAACGACGCCACGAGTTGTGTCGCCGTTGACTGCTGTATAGTACATCAGTCCATCTCGAACCGAATACCGTTCGGTTGAAGAGCGGTGTTGAGAGGTCAAGCTTTCAAAGCTTGACTGCATGGATTAGATACATAATCCATCGATCGCAGAAGAGACTCATCTTCTGCGTAAGCTTTTCGCACGTCGTCGAGCAGATTCGACGACAGAACACTCATCGTTAGTGTCTCTACAGTGGGATCGCCCCTACTGTTGTGTTGAGCAGTCATCTCGAATTTCGGGCCGACGCGAAAGAGCATCAGCGACGACATCGAGCGGTCATGGTTTATACTCGACGGAGAAGTTGTACTCCGCGAAGAAATACAGCCACCTCGCCATTCATTACGAGAGGTGTGGACTGTTTACGGCCGTGCGTAACGACGCATGGTCGGTATAAACGATGAAGGGACTATCTCCTAACATGAATACCCGACACTTAGCCAGTGCATATTTCATGGCAAGGAGTTCCTTGTCATGCGCTGGTTAATTACGCTCATCTGCTTGCATCTAGCACAATTGATAACAGACGACGCGCTCAACGCCGTCTGAGTCGTACTGCATTAACGCGCAGCCGATTGCAAAATCGCTGGCGTTACAGACCACATGGAATGGTCTGTCCTGGTCTGCAATCGCCAACACAGGCGATTTGAATCAAGATTTTCTTGATCCCTTCAAAGGAGTGCTGACACTTAGCACTCCATGACCACCTCTCGTTTTTCTTTAGCAGACTAGAGAGATGTACGGTCATCTCGGCGTAGTTGCGCGAGTACTTGTGCAAGTACGCCGCTAAGCCAAGGAATTTTTGAAGTCTCTCGACGTCGACTGGCACAGTCCAGTCGCCAATCGCCTTAATCTTTTCCGGTTCAGGGCGTACACCGTTTTTACCCACGATGCAGCCAAGAAGTGGTATTTTGTTCGCTGCGAATATACACTTCTTGAGGTTCGCAAACAACTTATGCTCCCGTATAAGCGAAGGAACCTCCCGGACGTGGATTCTATGATCCTCCGCGTCCGCCTTTCCATCCATAGCTCGGCTATGGACGAAGACATCGTCGAAGTAACTCGGTGCAAAATCGCGCACCAATCGCAACAGATTCGTAACACATCTGTTGAACGTTGCAGGGGCGTGACTTATCCTCTGTGGCATCACTAGCAACTCCCAGAGCATACCGCTGGGGGTACTCACTGCTGTGTACGGGATGTCCCGTTCACGCATGAGGATCTGATAGAATCCATACATCAGATCCGTGGACGAAAAGATGGTGCTTTTTGCCATACCATCTATGATGACGTCCTTCCTCGGTATCGGCGTTTGAGCCGGTACCGTTGCAGCATTAAATTTGTTGGACGCGTGCACTATCCGCCACCCTCCTGTGGCCTTTCGCGCACAGAAGGTCGGAGAGCTGTGTGGGAATGTTGATTCCCTCACATGACCAGCCGCTAATCGATCGGCAAAGAATTTGTCGATCGATGTGACCTGTTCACGAGGCAGTGGCCACTGCTTCATGACACAGCATTTTGAACCGGCTTCGGTTCGATCTTATGCCGAGTGCCTTTGTACTAGGGCAGCTCGCATGGCACGGATTCTGAGAAAACATCCCTGAATTCGACCAAATCCTTATACAAATGATTTGTCTTCAAAGACTCCCAAGATTGAGACGTGTATCGCTCAAGCCGGGTCTTCTCATCGATGACACTCTCATCCATCGATGAGCTACTGAGAACCCGTTCTAGCTCAGTAAACACTGCCGACCGAATATCGGCGGCGTATTTCTCATCTGTGAAGAGTACGCAGATCTGCTTGATCTTGTCACTGAGCAGATCTCGCAAGAATCTTATATATTCTAGCGTTGGCAACTTGACCACCTCTGAAGCTGACTTCGGGGGTGTAACCAGATCAAGTGTATAAGTGCCTACACTTGATCCGTCATTCACCAAGACATTCACTGTCTCGGTGATTTCCTGGTAAAACACATCCTCAGGTGGTTGGGGATCCACAACCTCAACATACCTCTCTCGGGATGTATCATTCTCAGGAACGCTGGAACTTTCTTCCAGTACGTGTACTGACTGTGGGTGCACTAACACAGGCATGTCCTCTTCGATCGACCCACTGTTAGTCGATCTCGCTTCAGCATGTTGTTCATCTTGAGCAACACTCATCTCTCTTCTCGGATGCACCCTTCTTGGTGTGCATATGTGTTCCAGTCCACTCGATCTCTTCGAGTAATTAACCTTCGGCGCAGCCTGTGTCTCTACACAAGTGCCAGGAGCTGGTTCCACAGTGTAGTGGCCTTCTACACTGTGATCTTGTGCGGTCATACTAACGACCGTACCACAAGTGAGTCCATCGCACTCACTCGTAGTACATCCACACACTTGTAGACTCTCCAAGACGTTCATCAGATGGCCATCCGATAGACAAAAGGCAGGCATCTTCACGGATCGATGCTACCAGCTAATCCATGGCTGGTACTTCCTAAGCCATGGCAGAGACCAATGATGACATCGAATTCGTCATCTAAATCTAATACGATAAAGTCATCATCGTACTGCTTTCCTTCTAGCGTGTAGTGGATTCCCACTACACGTTTGTTCACTGTTACGGATGCGCCTTTAGCAAGGCACATCGTCATCCTCGTTGGAGGGAACTCTCGCTCAACATAGTTGAGCCTACTATCCTCTAGCGACTGGCGTCGAATAAAACTGCTCGACGCCCCACAGTCAACTAGGGCGCGAAGTGACATTCCACTTGTCACTTCGATCTTCAAAATGATGAGTGACACCTCATCACTAGGGGACGTAACTCACAGCGACTCTGTGCTGGGAGCAACCTTCGTCAAGCGTCCTGCAACTTCCCTTGACGTTGCTGGATCAGCAGGGTGCTCCGCCCCTACTGGCCCTGACCGTTGTTTGGCGGTCCGACTTGCTGTCGCGGCTTAGCGACATGGTCGGACCCACGCCTTGGACCTTTCCTCGACCAACGGCAGTCATCACGTCCTGTCTTTGGACGTGATGCGGTGCTTGGGACACTGCACTCATGAGTGTAGTGTCCAATCTTCTGACAGCGATGGCATCTTGCTGATCGCTTGTGACTCAGAGAGCGAGAGTTATCGCTCTCGATGCAACAGAGGTCCATTGGTTCTGGACCTCCGGTTTTTTATCGTCTCGTCGAACGATAGTTTGACAAGTTAGCCTGAGACTGTCTCAGGCTGAATTCTTCTTGTTCCGCATACGCTATCGTCTTTTCCAGCGTATGGAAGTCCTCTCGGAACATGCAGGTCTTCACTGACCCATCTACAAAGACGTAGATGAACACGTTGATGAGTTTGTACTCATCAACAGGGTATTTTGTGACGCTACTCGCAAGGTACCGTAGGTGTTGTGCGTAATCATGCACATCACGTTTACCTTGCTTGAGCCTCAAGAGTGCAGAGAGTGCTCTGTACTAGTCTCTTGGAGGCTCAAACGTTTCTTTGAGCCGAGACTTCAAGATCTTTAACGACTCAAACACGTTTGGGTCGTGAAGCTATCGCCCTCAGACCCAAGTCTTTGCTCCTCCTGTCAAGTTTGACAGGGCGAAGGTGACTCACATCTCGTCACCCTCGATGTGACGGGCCCTGATGGCGTCGTTTAACTCGACGAACCATCTTGAAAGCGAATCTTTGTCGGTTCCCTTGTACCTTGAGATATCTATCTTCATGATTTCGGGTCGACGCGTGTGCATCGGCCCACTCATCGAATGATGAGAGCCTTGCTGCTGTAGCAAGGCTATCTTCTGTCTTTCGACGGCAAGTTCTCCTTGTAGGAACTTGAAGATAGCAGCATGTTTGCTGGTCTCTGCTAAGAGACTCCAACATGCCACTGACGGCGGGTCTGCCCATAGGCACACTCATGCGGCCGACTACATCCCATTCTGAGTCACTCAGATGGGAGTAGCCTTCACATGTGACGTGAAAGCTGTCGTCTTCTACGTCCAACATGTTCATGTTGGACGGGTACTAAGTAGTCGTTGGACGGACTACTAAGTGCTACTAGGTGTAACGGGGCACCCCTTTGTTTGGGTGTTACGAAACTTCACGTACACTAGTGCGTGCAGAGGAAGCTAATCTACTCAACAACTAAGCTGAGTAAAGGGTGAAAAGAGAACTGTATTTGATATAGTTAAGCTATCAATATAACTTTAATCTTTATCTAACTACATTAATCTACATTGTCGCATGACGACAACCTGCTCACCACTCATTGCGCGCGTCTAGAAGCGATTGGTGGCAATTTTTGGTTGGTGTGTCTTTATCAACCAATCTTGGAGCAGCGCATGAATATTATCCTACAAAGGGGATAATATTCCTTCAATATTATCCACCTCGGATAGTATTGATAGGATACTGGCATGCTAGACAATATCCTTATTGACACCGTTTGATGTCAATACCATGTTACGGCCTACCCCGTTACAGCAGGCGTATGCGAGGAATAGTGCAGGAAATCGTGTGGTCTGCTGTTTTGTAGGTCAGGCAATCTGACTTTTATTTTCGCTTGCGCCGGGCGTTAGAGTCGACAGGGTAGTCAGGGAAGCCATTTGTACAATTAGTGTTGCAGAGAGCTCTGTACAGCGCAGTGTGCATGCCAAGTAAAATGACAGAGCGGTAAGTAGTAGATTGAACGCAGAATCTTATCGTCCTTCACCGAACTCCTACTGCGCTGCACGTTTGCGTGCCAACAGTGTAGACAGCGGTACTGTTTGCTCTTTGCAGATCTGTCCTTGCATAATTGAAAGTGCTTGTAGGTCGCAAGAAGGTGCGCGACTTTCGCACCTGAAACGACAACCCTTAGCTCTACACTGTGGTCTAAACCTTGCAAAAGCCCAGACAATATGTAACGATGCCAATAAGTTAGTGTACTCCTTAGCTCGGTAAGTGGCATCGGTGCTTACATGATGTCGTCGAAATTTAAGATACAATGGCGCAATAGTGAAGCCATTAGCGTGTGGGTACGACTAATAGTACTAGAAACCTGTCCGATACATCCAGTCTCACTGTTCAGCAAGTGTTTAGGTTCTGGTGCGTGCTACCGTGGGATGCACGAGTGATGACGTGGGCCCTGGGGGAACTACTGTTCCAGAAGAATCTCAGTAACATTTCACACATGTCGATCCAGCTCACTCGTGACTTTCATCTCACAGCCAAGAGCTTTTTCAGAGCGAAGCAGCTGCACGTTTTGCATTTATTACATGAATTGCTGCAATGTTGACATTGAGCTGATTGAAAGCAATCGACCTGTCGGTGATTTTTTTTGGTAGGTGGTCGAGTTGTACTGCCAATGACGAGGTTTGGTTTACTGCTAACGCCGTTGTTGGCGTGGACAATATAGCTAGAGATACTCCTTCAATGGTACCTTTCAGTCATGGAAGTAGCATGTAGATCTGCTCGATGTATTGCTCTAGTAATTATCAAATATTAGACTTTGAGCTGTTGCACGTTCGAGAGATAAAGTGCTCAAAATAACATTTGATGACTTCGTTTCGAGTTTGGAAAGGACGCGCGAAACGGCATTTTCGAGCTGCAGAGCTAGAGCTACAACTGAAGCTATGACACCTCGTTGGGGAAGCTGCAATCGAACCGTTCGTAAAGAATGCTAGAGCCAGCAAAGTGATCGTGGGATCGGCTGCTCACTTGTTGACAACCGCACGTCGTATTGAAGTCGCACACATTTGAGTTTTTATGAAGTTCAACTTGATTGAAGCCGACGCTTCTTCGTTGATAGCATCGACGCCATTCGTCATGTAGCCGCTAACTCGAATGCTCTTCACTACACTTCAAGTACTGCTGTCTCTGAATGCTAATCAGCAACTACCCGTGTTGATCTTGAAATCATGAGAGACAACGCTCCTTTGCACCACAGAGTCGCTCACCCGTTTTTGCGTCCATCACTTTTCGCACCTTGTCACTACCTTTCTCGGTCTGTGGCTACCGCATTACCACAAGTGCCCAAGGCCTTACAACCTCCACCATGACCGCTAGCAAGTCTCACTAGAAGCAGCTTCACGTTGCACACTCCTAGCTCACTTTGCAAAATTCTCTCTTATCATCAAGACTAGACTCGTCCAGATGAACATCTATCAACCAAGCCAATCTGAAGGTCTCAGGTCACATCCCCACGACGAGTGCGTAGGCGGCAACGACATGCTGAGCCTCCTCAATTTAGTGATACCCGGTAGTAGTGATGTGCTGCTATCGCCACTGACCACAACGTCAATCGACGACTACGATCCGATCGACTATCCGTTCATGCTCCAGCCACCGGCACTTGAGTACTCGTTTGTATCTCCGTCGCTAGCGATTGAGTACCCATGGATGCCCGAGTCGCAAGACTTTCTTCCACAACAGCTGACAAGCGTGATAGATTCGATAGCCGGTCCAACGGAGCTCATTGTTTCGCACACGTCCCAGGTTGGGACTGAGCCAATGTTTGATCCAACTCACTGCCAGATCAAGTCGCTGTCGCTGCTTTATCCAGATTCTGCACTTCCTGACATGTCGGATGAGATGCCTCAGCTGGATTACGTCGATGCCCGTGAACTGATTGCGCTTTTCACAGACACTGGTGTCCCGCAAGAAGAGCGCCAACATGAGAAGCAGCAGCACCAAGTGCAGCAGCAGCAATTGCTGCTCTTGTCCAAGAAGTCCAAAGGCAAATGCGCCGTCGCCGGCTGCAACACCAAAATGCAGAGCAAAGGAAAGTGCATTCGGCATGGCGGCGGTAGGCGCTGTGTGGTCGAAGGCTGCACTCGTGGCGCACAGACATTGCGTCGGTGCAAACGTCACGGTGGTGGTGCACGCTGCAGAGTTGAAGGCTGCAAGACAAGCAGCCAGGGTGGAGGCTTGTGTCGAGCTCACGGAGGTGGGAGACTGTGCACCGCCCCCGGGTGCAAGAAGGGTGCCCAGCGACAAGGCAAATGCTCCACACATTCTTCGCAACAGTGCAGAGTGGACAATTGCTCGAGTGTCGCCCGATGCAGAGGCTTATGCAACCGACATAAGAAAACGTTGCAGTTCTAGTGACGCGAGCAGCTCGATCATTTGTGTACACCAGCAGCCAAAACAAGGTGCTTCGACCCAGTGGAAGTCATGACAGTCACCACCGTGTACGAGGTGCACCCATGTATCATTGTAGCAATAGCAACACCTCGTCAATTTCACACTTGTAAACTTCTTCTTCACTTCCACATGCTCTCCATGCACTCAACCGTTGACATTTTTAGTACCTGTCGTCAAAAGTGCTCCCTACGGTTGCAATAGACGGCGGTCTTCCTCCTCTCTTGCAAGCTTCTCCTCCTCAAGAGTCTGCTTCGCAAGCTGGTAGCGCGGGTCCATCTTCTCCTTGCTGTAAGCGGCTCCCAAGAATTGCGGGTCCGTTTCTGCCTCCTTCGCGTACTTCAAAATGGCTTGCCGCGGGTCTTCTTCTCGGAATGAAGACTTGATGTGGCTACTCATGAAGTATTGCGTGAAAGTGGTACTGCCACTGATCTTACCACCCATGCCTGGACCCGTAATGGGCCTCTCAGGTGCATGAGACTGCTTTGGGTCAGCACGCACCTTCTCCAATTTTCGCTTGCGAGATCCTAACGTATCATCGCGATACATAGGAAGCGCGTGAGGCGTGTACACTTTCCCGACACTGTCAATACGAGCCCCCGAGTCATTGCCTTGTACTTTCAACTTCTTTGTCGCGCTCAAGAGAACACCCTTGGTGCTCTGTCGCGGATCGTACTGGACACGACAAGCTCCTGTAGAGCTTCCGATAAATATCTGATTGATACCGTGATGCCACTCCACACATATTGCGCTTTCATCTTCCTTCATGTCAATGCGAGCAACGGGCTCCACAAGGCCTGGCGTGTGCACATCCAAGAACAGCACTTGACCCTTCAGGCCCTTGCCCTTTCGAATACACGTGCCAGCAGCAATGGCCGTACCGTTGTGGTTAAAAGCAAGGTTGCATGTCCCAAAGACGCCGTCGATGCCGTGGAACTCCTTCAAACTCTGCTTGGTCTTACGTAAATCCCAGATCTTAACAGTGTCGTCTGAGCAGGATCGTGATGCCAGGAACTTGCCGTCAGGTGAAAAGCGAATCGAAGAAATACCCACACCACCCGCACCGTCTGCATGTGCGTCACGAACAGTGATTGTAGCCCCAGCGTAAGCCTTGCGCGGATCGATACACTGCACTTGACCGTCCATAGTGGCTCCTGCAATAAGCCCACCGTCTGGATTGAAACGACAGGCTGTTACTCCGCAGCGCCGACCTCGGCGGTCCTTGAACTTGAACACAGACGTATTGATGAGCTTGTTGAACGTCTTTTTCCCATCAAGGTTCCAAAGTCGAATCGTGCCGTCCAAGGAGCTCGTTATCATTTGCTCGCGTACTTTCGGATGCCATTGGCCACCAGTTGCTGTGTGCGTGTGTCCATTGGTGTTGGCCATGTCAACAACATACATATCTCCCTTTGCAAACTGCAGTTCCTCCACACCCTCACGCGTAAGCACCTTCGGCTGCGACGATCCAGTAACTGCTAGTAAGCGATCTCCAGAGGGACTGTAGCTCACTGCTACAACCGGGTGACCTTCGTGCACCTCAACATCACGGAACGGACGGACGTGACGTGCCATGCCTGCAAAGTCCCACAACTTGACGCGGTAATCAGTGGACCCCGTAGCCACTCGACCGCCAGGCGGATCCACAGCAATGCAAGCAAGTCCTTTTGTATGGCTCGCAAGGACTACTTCATGAGACTTGGGCAAGCCATATCGAAGGGCAATGTCATCACCATTTTCATCATCATCCTCACTTTCGTCTTCTGCTGAACCGCTTCCTTCGCCACCATTGTCTTGCGCTCGTTCCTCGTCTGCATCATCAACGTCCACGGAAACTTGTGCAGGCTTTTCCATCATTTGCGCAGTCATTGCTGCGATTTCAGCTTGTCTCTGATACCAAAAACACAATCAAAAACCGGACAGAAGACACATGAGCACACACCACATTACCAGCCACAACCCGAATCCAGAGTCCACTGGCATTATCGAGAGCCCCACCTTCTGCCGTTCCTCAGCTTTGGCCTCACTTGCCACCATTGGCCCTCGACCTTCTTGCCTCTTGTGTCGTTTTGGACCGCCAAAGCCTTGCATCTCACGCATCATCTGCTGGAGCTCAGATTTCTCACAAGCTGCTGCTGCTGCTGCAAGCCCGCGTTCGTCCTTTGTCTTCTTTTTGTCTTCATCCACTGCATTCTGGAAGACGAAAGTCTTGGTACTGGCCCCAAAAGTAATAGAGTCACCATCTCTCAATGGTCGCGGTTTCCGTGGCGTCATCTCTTGGCCGTTCACGAAAGTGCCTTGGGCAGAGTCCAAGTCCATGAGACAAACGCGCTCGTGCTCGTCATGCACCACGACCGCGTGTCGACGAGAGACGGACGGATGGGGTAGAAAAATGTCACAAAGCTCTTGACTGCGACCCAAGACGTAGCACGACTGGGAGCCGACAGGAATGTGCTCGAAGCTTTCGCTTCCCTTGCTGACCTCGAGCTTGGCGTGACGATTACGCTGCACAGGAGACGCTGCCCTGGTGAACATGGAGAGGAAGCAGAGGGAGAGAGGGACAAGAGGGGGTTTAGTGTGTAAGTGGTAGTGGTAGCGGGTGGAGTAGAGCCAGAAAGAGGCGAACGCACCATGTCGGGGCTTGATACGCCATGGGTTAGCGCAGGTTGGCTGCTTGTTTGTCTTGAGGAATCGTGAACTATACCTTTTTGGTAATTGAGTGCCATCCACCAATAATTGATATTTGAATTTGTCTTCCTTTTGACAATCGCGGACTAGTTACGGAAAAGTAAAGTAGGATTTTATGAGTTTGGGACGCACTCGATCGTCGCGCTGCCTTCTTATTCCGGTGCCGGCGGGATTACCCAATTAGGTTGCAATAACCCAGTGTGAGACCAAATCGGGAATCACTAGGTCGCTGCTGTCCCGATTTCATAGATCTGTATTCGACGAAATTGGTTTTTCATCTTTTTATCATTTTCATCGTTTTATATCAACGCTTCTTTTGTGCATCGTAAAAGCAGGTTGTGCAGTCGATGAAGCCGAAAGGGTGCGTGAGAAGGGGGAATGTCTGCCATTCCTGCCGATTTCTGCGCCGGTGAGGTGGACACGTAGATAATGAATGGTGAAACGTTTGTGGAAGAACTCGAACGCAAGGCGACTGAGAAGCAGCAGATACACGACAACATTCTCGAAGTTCTACTGAAACGCAAGGCAGCCAAAGTGGTCGAGTATGTTGCGCCTCGTGAAACAAAGCTACGAGTTCACAATAAATCAAGGCTGTCACTTTGTCTATGCTGTGAGTCAGATTCTCCTTACTGAGGCGAGCAATCTTTGTATACGTGTATCTACAGAACGGTTTTTTGAACGGTGTTAGCTTTCCATTTCTACAGAGACTAGTAGATTCTGGCGACAGGGTCGATACAACCTGACAAATGATTATGTTGCTCAGTCCGATGACTCTTTCAATAGCCGACAAAGACTATAGTGAATTCCAATTGCAGCTAATTTGAGTTGAGGCTCTGGAAAAATTTCAGGGTGCAAATATGGTGATGCATTCAGTGTAATAGGACCATTGAGTCCGCGCACAAGAGCTGGATTGACAAAGTCCGTACTAGATATACCGCAGCGTGTTATCAAAAAGCTCACATCGCCAATCAATGTCCCCACTAGGATTAATGCAAATCTCGTAATCACCGGGGCATAATGGCCGCTCACATGCCCGATCGAGGCTGGGATGAAGTGTGTACTATTGTATGATAGTTGTGTATTTGAAGCATCACGAAGGCGCTGTTGTTAATGTATCAACCACCACACCGGACACGAAGCGTGAATCTGTTTCTCCGAACCATGCAAAAATTAAGCTGATCATGTAAAGAAGACAAAGGACATGTAAAAAGTAGAAAAAAAGGATTTCATCAAATTAGATGCGCAGTGCGCGCGAGAAAAGAAGAAGATCGAGCGAAACGATAAAAATGATGAGAAATATGAAATGTAAATGGTTGCAGATGTGTCTGTTTCGGAGTTGCGACGACTGATTGATCTCGTTTTGGACAAATTTGTGTAACGGGGCACCCTGAAGCTTGTACTGGTGACAGTACAAGCTACTTATTCTGATGACAGAATAAGGCGGTGCCTCGTAACTTCACGTACACTCGTACGTGCAGAGGAAGACGGTAAGAAGAAGCGAGTACTTGGTTAAAGTAAAAAGTAGAACTGTATTTATCATAGTTAATGTCTGCAAGAAATCACTATTTATCTTCATCTAACTATGTCTAAATACAAATGTGTAAATCAGTTATCCGCTCACCACTCATTGCGTGCGTCTGTCGTGGCGCGTCTTCGTTGGTTGATATAATGGCCTACATCAACCAATTAGGAACTACTCGTAAGTGCTACAGATTATTTGTCCTTATGACAAAATTCTGAGAGTATAACTCTTATATTCTATTAACAATTTCTTATAAATTGTTATGTAACGATTCACCTCGTTACATCACCCCCCCTAACCATCAGTCACTTTAGTGACTGATTGACTAAATGGATACTCGTCCCAAATCATTTGGGACGGGGTTCCCACTTGTTGGTCCGAGTCCACTTTCCAACATCTCATCGCATGGTAAACAAGCCCATGCGATGCGCGAGCAAGGCCGCCGAGAGCGCGTCCGCACGTCTCTGTGCGGACGCCGAAGCAGAAACAACAGCAACTGATGTCTCATCGGTTGCTGAAGCGACCCAGCCTGTGTCACTTGGTGATGCAGGCGCTGGTCATGAAGACACTCGTGTCTTCACAGAGTACGAGCTCGGTGTCTCGTACTCTCCTGATACGGATGACGGATCCGTATCGACGGCGATTGAATCTAAGCCGCCTGCCAAGCGTGGCATGGACGATGCTTTGCGTCGCAGCATCTTTGGTTCATCTGATGAATCAGATGAACCATCGCCGAAGCGAAGGCGCTCGAGGTCGCGAGACTCGGGCGCTAATAGTGGTGTCGGTTCTCCTATGGACACCACTTCGCAGCGAGGTGCCAGTACTTCTGTCGGCACGTCGCAGGAAGAGCGGGACCGCAATGTGTTGCGTCTCGCTCCTGAGAAGAAGGCATGGATGCCTCCAAAATCCGTCATGGATCACTTGTCGGCGACGACGAGTGATCGTTATCGAACACGATTGTTCGATTCGTCAAGGATCCATCACCTTGACCCCAGCGCGAAAAACTATCGCGCTGAACATGAATTCTTCATCGCTGCTTTCTTTAGACATCGATGGTACAGTGGGAATCACAAACGTGATGGTCCCTCACTACTTCAGGCGTGGAACGCCTACATCCATAACCTCGAGGATGTAGGTCGTGACGCTTGGAACGCCAAACTTATCAAAGCTCGTGATAAGTTTGAAAAGCGAACCCCGACAGGTGCACGCTACAAGCTGCATCGTCTGTCAAGGGAGAAAGGATTACCCTGCCTCTCTTGGGGAGACTCGTGCCCATGTTGTGTGAACAACTCTGCACGAGCACCTAAGGAGGCTTACCTCCTTACCAGCCCGTGGTGGCGCGTACGTGTCTCTACTGAGATGTACGAAGGGATTGACAACCTGAAATCCCTTTACGACCGTGCCGGGAAGACTTTCTCCGGCGGTCCTTCTGCGGCACAGGATGTGCCGCGTCGTACTGCTCAACCAGACCCAGTACGTCGATCATCAGTTGGGAGCGGGGCTCCCAAGAATCCCAGGACGGGGGATAGCCGCGCCACCGGACGAGATAACTCGTCCGACGTCCGTTCACATCGCGGTGGTTCAACAGCTGCTCAACTAGATAGCGCTGGCCACCGCGAGAGTCCTCTAATGGAGGTGGAGGAGGAGGAAAGACGCTCTCCACACGATCATGTGGATCGGTGTGTACCCGAGAGCTTCTTTGATCGCGTAACGCAAGGGTTACGCGACGATCTCGAACATGAGCGGAATAGGCGTCTCCAAATGGCGGACACTGCCTCGAAGCATCGAGCTGAGTTTGCCTTTGCTCAGCTCGAGAACGAGAGATCTCTGACATCTCTTCGTGACGAGCTAAGGGTAGCTCGTGGGATTGTTGATCGGTCTCGGGCTGAGATAACTGCTCTTCAGACCCTTGTTGATGCCCACCATCGGGAGCACAAGGCTCTCTGCGAGATGCTTGAGCGCAAGGGCGTTCTTCATCGGAAGAAGCAGCGTACTGATGGTACGGCTTAAGCCGACCAACGTAAAACGTGGGATGCGTTCGCATCTTACGTGGCAACTCGATCGTGTATGCATTGCCTAGGCGGTGCAATACCCGAAATGGGCCGATGTACTTGGTTAGTAGTTTACTACTACCCAAGTTAGTCACTACATGCTTTGGTAGATTAACCGTAGACAGTAGGACTAAGTAACCTTTATTAAATAAAAGAGTGTTTGCCCTTCCATTCTTGTCAGCGTTTTGCTTTTGCTTATCCACCGCTTCGGCGATGGAGTCTTGCACAAAACGGACTACCGTTTCACGAGCCAGTATGAACTCATCTGCTGGCTCGTTAGCTTCAGTGCGCTGTGAGCGCACTGCAGCAACATCAACCTTTTCTTCAGTGAGGGCTTCCGCACTCTCACTGGCATCATCTTCTTCAATATCGATGTTATCGATATCGGCATCAAACACAATGACCTCTTCGTCAGAGCTTGATGAGCGTGAACCAAATCGTTTTTTGCTCGCGCGATTCCCTCCCCCCCTTAAACCAGAGTTACACTCTAGTAAGGTTGGTACACGCGGATGGCGTAAGCCATTCACGTAAAACGGTGTATGGGTCGTGGACGCATGCACCGAGTTGTTGATGGCAAACTCTACCATCGGCAAAAACTCACTCCAACTCTTAAAGGAGTGTACGTATCCTCGAAGTATCTCTTCAAGGACACGATTGGCACGTTCCGTCTGACCGTCTGACTCTGGATGATCAGATGTCGACATCTTCAAGCGCGTTCCGAGTGATTTGAACACGGAACGCCAGAAATCAGCAGTGAATCGTGGATCTTTGTCTGATACGAGCTCACGGGGAAACCCATGAAGTCGGAAGATGGTGTCAATAAAGACACAGGCACAGCCACTTGCCGTGATTGTCTCTGGTACAGCCACAAGGTGTACCATTTTGCTGAATCTGTCAACAAATACGAGAATACCCGTATTCCCGCGTGCGTCTTTGGGTAACCCGAAGACAAAATCCATTGAGATGGATTCCCAGCACTCAGCCGGAACCGGTAGAGGCTGTAAAGGTGCACGCAGTGAAGGACTTGACTTCACTCGTTGGCAGACTTCGCATGCGCAAACATACTTTCGCACAAACTGATACTGGCGGGGCCAGTAAAAGTCTCGACTTACCGTGAGATATGTTTTCTCTCGGCCACGATGTCCTCCTATAGGAGCATCGTGATACTCGAACATGATCCGCAAACGCAGATCAGTATCATCTGGAATGACAACACGTGGTGTGTCACCAGAAACGGCTGTATAATACAGTAAACCGTTGCGAGTAGTGTATCGATCTGATGCAGATCGATACGCAGACGACAATCGTTTCAGCGATTCTCGAGATGGTTGGGAGAGATGTGTCAACAACTTCACTATCTCACCATCTTGGGCGTATGCCCGCCTCACATCA